GATACCACACGAACGCAGCCGTCCTTGCCGGGGTGAAGCTTTATGATTCTGCCAGTGGCCCACTTTCCGGGTGGTAAATTAGCGTCATGGATAATAACAATGTCGTTGATCTTTAAGTTTGATTGTGGCTGCCGCCACTTGCTGCGTGCTGATAACTGAGATAGATACTCGGCTTTCCACCGTTTCCAGATATCATCGTAAATTTTCTGAGTAAGCTGCCATCTTGTTCTGGGGTCTTTTTCAGTTTCAATTATAGTTAGTGTGGGACCACTCGATAAAAAATGTGACGGAGTAAGGTAATCCATATCCTCAGGGTCTTCGCTGATAGCGCAAAGTGGTCTCGAGTTGAGACAAGCTTCTAACTGTGCTAGTAATGTTGAGTACTCCTCATACGTTAGTTTCTGCTCGCCTACAACTCTCTTGATGTGGTGTTTGAGACTTTTGACAGCTGCTTCCCAAAGTCCCCCTGCATTTGGCCAGGAAGGTGCATTAAAGTGCCATTGTATTTGCATATCTGTGATAGCTGTGTAGAACTCCTCGTCAAGAGTGTTTCGCAAATTGATGTATTCTTCACGTAATACTTTGTTGGTTCCGACAAAATTTGTCCCATTATCGCTGTAAATATGATTTGGAGCCCCTCTCCGGGCTGCCATCCTCCTTAGTGCTGCTAGGAAGGCGGCTGAGCTCAAGTCGGATACGAGTTCTAGATGCACAGCCTTGGTCGCCATACACACAAATACAGCTATATAACCTTTGGTCGTCTTAATGCCACGTCCTTTGTTCGCCTTAATGTCCACATAGCCGGTGAAGTCGACACCAGTATGATTGAAAGGTCGCGATGGATTACTTCGTGATTCAGGTAAGTCTCCCATTAATTGTGTATTTTTTACAGGATTATGCCTTCTGCATGTGACGCATTTATGTAAGCGTTTTTTGATAGCACGATTTCCACCAATAATCCAAAATTCCTGTCTTAACCACGCCAGTGTTAGACGAGCTCCACCATGGAAAGTCATCTGATGACCTTGATCTATCAATCGATCGGTAAGTAGTCCGCTATGAGGAATGATAATTGGATGTTGCATGTTTTTGTTTATCCTTGCGTTGCTTATCCTGCCACCAACCCTCAGTAATCCGTTTTCGTCTAGATACGGATTTAGGTTAAGTAGCTTGCTTTTAGAGTCTATATTGCTATGCTTTTGAAGGCTTTTGATCTCCTCCATAAACTCATGTTGCTGTACATGCTTGATTAAAATATGCTTTGCCTTTCTCAGCTCAGTGATTGTAAGAAAACACGGTTTCGAATGCATTTTTGTTGATATACGTAACATCCATGCAAGTACACGCGTCGATTTTGCAAAGCTACCATACTTGCTCAGTATCGAGTCGATGACGTCGTCTGAATGTAGTTGCGAGGAGGAAACTTGTTGTTCTATCTCTCTCATGTCTTGAGATGTGATGTAAACACAACTTTCCTTTGACTGATTTTCGTCGAATGAAGGTAACCATGAGGGTCCATGCCACCATAGACTATGGTGTTTAAGTTGTTCTACAGACATGCCCCTACTAGCACAATCAGCTGGATTATCTGCGGACCTAACATAGCGCCAGCTTTTCGCTGGTATGATTTCGGTCACTTGCTTGACTCTATTGGCAACGAAATGCTTCCAGCGACTTGGTTCACCTTGAAGCCATCCCAGTACGGCTGTTGAGTCTGACCACGCGAAGATTTTGATATCATGCCCAACTAGACATTGTGTAACTTTGTGTACTAACTTTGATAATAGTACGGCCGCATTTAATTCTAGTCTTGGTAATGTGATACCTTTGTTCATGGGAACAAGCCGCGTCTTTCCAGTTACTAATATTACTGATGAGTTATAATTGTCATCTTTATTTTCGTATGTGCAGTAAATCACACAAGCGAATGCTTTTATTGATGCGTCACAGAACCCGTAAAGCTTGATAGTTCCATCTTTGTGACTCTGCAGCCATCTTGGCATGTTATTTAGGACAACACTGCATTGGTACGATATAATGTTCCCACTTAGAATCCAGCCAAGGCGAGTCTGCTGCGCCACTACCTGTGAATCGCCCTCCTTGATGATACCATTCATGATGATTGATGAGTATACATCAGCTCCTAGTAGTATGTCGACTGGACGGCTAAGGTTATATTCGGGATCCGCTAAATTAACATGCTCTATACAAGCCCATGATGGCTTTTGGAATGATCGATTGGGTAGATTGTGAAGCAGAGTATTCATGATAATTACCTCAGTGGAAAAAGTGAAGTCTGTATACACTGCCGATGCTTCAATTTGTATAACACCCTTGCAATTATTTTCCTTGGCACCAACTCCCATTACAACCCCCTTGCATGCTCGTCGAGGAAGTCCCAATCTTTGTGCAGCTTTTTCCTTTATTAATGATACTTGGGATCCTTGATCTATTAGAGCACGCATAGGATAATAAATCCCGTTTATTCCCATAACCTTGATTTGAGCTGTTGCCAACAAAGTTTCAAATATCTCTGGATTTGATACGTGTGTGACATTTTTCCGTTCCTTTAATGTCGAAGCGATAGCGTCAGACTTCGCGCTACTGGAACCCGAGTAGGTGTCGTGTAACAAGGTGTTATGTTCACCATGACATTCACGACATCTTTTATCGGAAATACATGCCTTACCTTTGTGGTCATAAAGACAGTTTTTGCATAAATTCAGTTTATTGATTGTCCTGCGTTTAGAATCTGATGTAGATTCTACGAAGGTCTTGCAACTGAATAAGCGATGGTTTTCTCCACAAACCGGACATTTCCATTGATTTTTAGTTGAATAGTTGTTTAAAAATGATTTACTTGATTTATAGAAATGCTTCTTATTATTGGGCTCTTGTTGAGACTTGTTATCTGATTTGATATCTGATTTTTGCACATCTTGCTTACGCCGTGATGCCTCTAATGATGTAAACTTATTCTCCAGAAATCCCAAAAAATCACTCAATATTGGTAGTTCTCGTGGGTTTTTCAAAGAGTCCGTATAGTCAGAGTGGGTCTGTTGATCCAGTTTCAATGCTAGTATGTGAACAACAAATGGATCCCACGTTGCTGTGTCAACTCCAAGATTTTTAACCGCATTCAGACACTCATTAGTAATGTCATACATTTTTTTTATTTGAGAAGCTGACTGTTGTTGCATAGTTGGTAATGATAAAAGGATATTGACGTGAGAGCTAAATATTAATTTTGTGTTATTGTATCTGTGGTTTAATATGTCCCAGCAGACCTTATAGTTCTCGGTGCTAATATGTAAGTGCTGGATGAGTCTCTCTGGTTCACCTCTGAGCTTAGATTTCAAAAATTGCATCTTTTGTGCACAGGAGATGGAGCGATTGCTGTGTATAGATTCCGTGAATAAGTCCTTAAATGCTATCCATTGATGATAATTCCCATTAAATGTTGGGATGTCCATCTTAGGGGTACTCTTATCACGGTGAGAGACAGACCACATCTTACGGTTGATATTTTGCTTGATTTCTTGATAAAGTTGTTCGTATTTGCTGAACAACTCTTCATACTCTTGATTTTCATCAATTGTTTCGCTATCAATCTCCCAATGCAATGAGTCTATTGTCGACCATCTTGACTGAACAGCTTGTAAATGATCATCAAACTCCCACTTTTCCGATATTTTATCTAAATCTATAGTTGCTATGGTACGCGAGAAAGCCTTGAAATTACTCTTTTGTTTTCTAAGCATCTCTTCCAGCTTGCTGCTGTTACCTTGTGAAGTGTAAAATATCGGCGCCTTGGTTGTAACCTTGGTGGTTGTTTGCTGAATATCCCCAATATCTGTCGATTTGCTACCGTGCCCCTGACTCTTCTCCACTTCAGCTGCTTGCCTAGATGATTGTGGAATAGTCGGTGCTTCGATAATTTTAGGGTTGGTCATGGTGACCATGCTCTGCTGTATGTATTCACGTGCCTCGTTATAAAGGTCTTAGTTTTGTTATAATAATTTTCTGAAAAGTAGCTGTAGCCACGGTCTTCAGATTTTATTAATTTGTTATGATTGGACTGGAACTCTTCCCAATATGAATCGAGAAGCTCTATACGTTTTTTAACATAAGTAGAGGTTCTTCTTTCAGGTCCATCTTTTTTAAAATTACGCAAGACTTGTTCCATGCCTTGCATAATTTGGTTTTGATTTTCCATTAGGTTCTCCATGTTAGAGATGATATAGCTTCAGTGATAAGCTTCCTTGAGAATAGATACCCTGTAAACCCTTGGTGCTAGCTGACAGAGCTGATAAGTCTATTCTGATTACTGATAATGATGCTGAGGTTGGTGATGCAACAACAAAATGATGCTAACCTCGCAACGAGTCCACTCGAAGATGTAGACCAGATGCTTCGCTGTGGCGATTAAAATGAGGGCACACTCACCGGTTTCTGCTGCTTTATTACATAGTGGTTCCTCTGATAGTAATGTTCCAGAATATCCACTCACTAGTTTAGCGGGGTGATACTTGTGTTGTAACACGCGCAAGGCCCCGCCAATTCGGTGGCTCGAAGGACCAAAAAGTTGTACGGGACAACTACAAATGATACGATGATATAGTGATAATATAACTTTAATGATAGTTACATGATACAAATGAGTAACCGCGGCGAGAATCGAACGCGAACTGAAGTAAAGTGCGCTCGCGGTACAAAAGTACTTATTCTACAATATTCCAATAATTGTACGGGTGGACCGTACAACATATAACTCGGAAAAAGTCAGATTGGTACTTGCCGTCGGTAGGTTCGAACCCGCACCCTCATGAGAAGCGGGCGTTTTAGCCTCCGGGCCACCACGACACTACAACCTTAAGGTCACGACCACGACCTACCTAAGGTCGTAGATATTACAATGACAAATTCCTCATATGTAAAGAAGGACTACAGTGTAGCAGTAGACTGGAATGGACACCGTTATTGATAATGGTGATACTTACTTGCATATCCTATCTAGCAGTACAGGGTCGGGGAAGTTGAGTGCGGCCATAGCGTAGAGGAGGTCAGCTGACTTCTTGAGGTCAATGATCTCGGCCTGGTTGGTGATATTGTGAGAGAGCGCGCGTAGTAATGGGGTGCTGCGCCGACCTTTGTTCTGCAGGGCTTTCATTACCTGAAGAAGTAATTATATTTAACTAGCTTTTACCCGCAGCTTTGCTCGCGTCATAAAAGGATAAAAAGTAGCCTATGTGACATATACCAATACACACAGCGCCATCTATACCAATTATTTTGTTTTTCCTCTGGATTATCAAATTTTTTCGGGATAAAAAGTACTATTATTTAATCCAGACTTCTAACTTCACGTCTGCAAAAATTCAAAGCAATCGGTTTAGTAGTTACGGCGCGAAAGTGGAACAAACAAACAAACAAACAAAGTCAGTTTCCGATTTATAATATTAGTAAGGATTTTTGGTCAAACTCCTATTGCTAGTGGTTGTGAAAATGTATTGTACACTATTTTGTGGCACATTAATTATGTATGGAGACTGTAGCGATTGTTTTATTGAGGGTCTCTCAATCTTATAGGTTGCAGTCATAAGACGCTTGCATATGCTGTTGCCCACCCTTACATCGAATAAATGAACAGCACAATACAGAAATGTGCTAAGTAAAATCGCTTTTTAACCGACTTTAAAAAATAGAGAGGTTTTCAGTTTGACCTGTATGTATGTATGTAATGTATGTGCGCGATCAACTCACAATTGGCTGAACCAATTTCAGAAGTCTTTATTACACTTAGAAGTAGGTTTTAGTATGTAAATAAATTGAAAAAAGAGGGTTTTTAAACATAGTTTTTCATAAACTATTGTTTATTTACACAAACCACAATATGTCACATTAATCCTTTTTTTTAAGAAAGGAAAACCATCGAATGACTTCTCCCGCCTGGGTGAGGCGGGAGGGAGTGGCAAAGGGAGGAGATGGCATCCCAGTCCCCCTCGCTCCGCATCATGCCCCGCACTAGGGCCGGACGCGAGAGGACATTAACCCTTTGAAGAAATAAAAAAAAATATTAGAATAAGGATCATAACCAACTCACTTTGATCATCTGTGGTAATGTCAAGTTTGTTATTAATCTGGCCGCCTCATCATCTCCTGTAATGCCCAATACAGTACTCAAATCTTCTGCCATGGTTAGAGAGCCGATTGTATGTGATGTAGTGGATCTGGCGAGGATCCTGCATAGTTTGAGAAACCGAGGATCTTTCTCAAAGTCTGTTAGCTTGACTTTGTTGGTGGTTGTCCATTCTGAGAGAATTGATACCATCTGAAATTTAAAAAAAAAGTCATACAAACACCTGTCACACTTGGCTATTCTAACCTTTATAAATCTGTCTAATGTTTCACATAAAGTACTGATATTCAGCCAAAACTGATAATGGCTCGGCGAAAACCCAAAAACTTATTAATTTTAATTTCATAGTTAAGTACTCTACTGCCTCGTTGGCCGAGTGGTCGCAAGTGCGACTATCGGGCAAGGGGTCTTGGGTTCGATTCCCGGGTCGGGCAAAGTATAACTGGGATTTTAAAAAATCTCAGTAGTAGCAGGGAGTCTCGAATTGTGCCCGGTATATGGCAATAGGCTTACCCCCTATTACATGGGACTCATAACATAAATAGTGAAAAGTGGGTGTTACATTGTACAGAGGCATAAGCCTCTGCCTACCCTTTCGGGGATAAAAGGCGTAATGTTATGTTATGTTAAGTATACTCTATACATTAACAATCACAGCCTGAGACTATCTGATTCAATAACACCTTTCCATTCTCAATGACAGTTACTATCAAAACATTTTTTGATAAATTGTAACATTGGCCAAGTGGTCGCAAGTGCGACTGCTGGACAAGGGATCTCAGGTTCGATTCCCGAGTCGGCCAAAGTATTAGTGGCTTTTTTTTAATTGTTAGGTAGTAGCACGGAGTCTGAAACTGTGTCTATTACATGGGACTCATAACATAAATAGTAAAAAGTGGGTATTACATTATACAGTGACATTAAACTGCCAAACACCAAGCGGTCACCGGTGACTGCAACCTATTGTTCTTTAATTGTGTCTATAAATACGGTACTCAACGAGTTAAGTGCCGTAATGTGCACCTCTGCCTACCCCTTGGAAGTAAAAGGTGTGATGTTATGATGATGAATTTATAAAAACTCACCTTCAACGCATGTCTTCGAGATACAACAGGGTTTTCAGCAACAACTAGCAATGCATTCAAGTCAGTGGCCTGTGATATCTGTCCGTCTAAATGTGCTAAGCGACTTATCTTCGCTGATTTAGGACTCGGCTTCTTTACTAATGGTGTGTCTATGTCTTGCAGGGAAGCAAATGCTGCTGCTACTAAGCCTGTAATGTAAAATGTAAAAATTTTATTATACATATGTAAATAGATGAACAAACATTTGCGAGTTTGTAAATTACATAAAAACTGCTGAAGAGATCGGTTTATTTGGATCAAAAGTCGATTGTGGTCTAGAATAACATCAGCTACTTTATTAAAATGTGGTCAAACCTGCTAGCAGAAATACTAGCAGCTAGTATTAGAAAAAATATTGACATGTTGTACACAAAACCAGTGAAGATTTAGTTTGGTAGTGTCATGTTAATCATGTTAGAGATACTTCTCTAGACATACCTATCTAGCAGCGAACTGTTAATACTAATAATAATTTTTCTTTTTTATTTCTACTAGCGACATACGCCGTCTTCGCACGGGTGCAAATTGCATTACATATAAACATTCTTTAAAAATCACTGTATCTATTAAAAAAACTGCATCAAAATACGTTGCGTAGTTTTAAAGATCTAGATAGGGATAGGGACAGTATATAATCATATGTGTTGAAGTGAGATTCAGTTTTTAAGTGCAACCGGCCTATATCTGCTGTCATTTATATTATAAGGTGTCGCTTAACCCGTTTCACGATTTACCATTGTCAAGTCAATCCATGACCAGTGGACTGGGATGGTGGGTGAGACACTCATGGTGTTGTTTTTATAGAAGTCTATTTATCGTTGGGACGTTCAGAGTTCAGGTACTCGTAAATTTCGTCATTAACAATAATAGCATAAGAAAATATTGCTTAACTTAATAGAATTATCTTAATATTATCTAATGGGAAACCTTGAAGACTGTTGATAATTAATTTAGTACTTAACTAGAGCTGGTGTTAAGTCTCTTGTTATTTAAAATTTGTTTTTTCTACATAACTGTCATCTTTATAAACGTTTTAAATAAACTAAATTAACTATGATAAGCACTATGGGCCTCTATTGTTATGTTGTTAATTAACTATTATACCTGAATTATCCTTGTCGTCACCGGTCAGTTGTTCGACTCTCTTATCAGATGTGTTTGTGGATAGGTCTAGCTTCTCAGTTTTGAATACTGTGGCACTTGGACCGGAATATTTCCTTACGGCTGCCCTTGATCCTAACCTCCAAATCACTTGCCCGCTTAATTTCAACATCTATGACCAAAAGAACATTATTTTTTAACACTGTTTCATAAAATACACTTCACCCAATATCCTATTAATGCTTAGGACACAAAAACATTGAGATTTTATATGAAAAATACTCAAATATCGACTTCTTACATCACGACTTGTACTTATCGAAAATTATAATGTTTTTATTAATGAATACTGTTAAAATGATGAATATGCTTTATAAATGTACCTTTTAATGTTATGGAAATGACCTGAAAAGTAAAAAATATAGTTTTTACAGCATTTACAAAAGGTAAAATTATTTATCTTTTTGACAATAAAATGTCAATGTTGCTGTGAGAAAAAATTAATTCCAAAATTGCCAATCTATAATTATTTGAAAACTAAACGTAATAGAGAACGATTAGAGTACTTTTGTCCATTGAAAGTTATGAAACTAAACGTAAATTTGTGTTTATCTGTGGGAATAGTGATGTTGATAATACAAAAATAAGGATTATATCGATCGATTTATTTCCATAACTAAATAAAAATGAAAATATAAAACATTGAATATGTGATTTACTCATTTTCTCATATTACAGGTAACCACATTTTCATTCAATCGATAAATCTCATATTTTTTGTAAATAAACAGTAAAAACGAAAATGATAGACAAACAAAACAGCTAAGTGCACATCACTAGTACAGAAAATTGCAAACGGCAGTCGTGGGAGGAAGTTTTGTTGTGATATTTTGTTGTTATTTTCTTAAAAACAGTGAAACCGGTGTTGGAAATCATGAAAATGGTAAGAAGCATTAAGTGCACACCGTAAATATACGTAGCCGTTAGTGTAAATACGAGAATAACAAAAAAATAGTTACGGTTGTAGACCGATGAGTTTGTACGAATTTGAATTGGTTTGCTTCGAATTCCTTTCTTATTTTCTAGTCAAATGTTGTTTATAGGATCATAATAATGTGAAATCAACATCCTAAATTAATATATCCATCGAAAATAAAAGGTAAATAGGGAAAAAGCATGGTTATCAATATACTATACATATAGAAACGTTACGTTCGGCTACCTTCAGTTTATTGATACCTAACTTATTAGCTACCGGCATTTCGAAGATCTTATCGCGTTTGCCCTCTTGCTACTTTCAACGTTCCATTATGTATTGTCAATAAGTTTTTGTGTATTCAATTTGTGATTGCCTGTGAAAACAAAGAATTGTGATGATTATAGATTTATTGGATGAACTTGATCAGATTTAGTAACAATCAATATTGCCCTTGTCTTCTCTGAAAGCTTCCAATTTTGTATAGTAACAGGTAAATATGAGACTAAAGCTCCACTGTATTTTAAGTTGTAAGTTAAAAACTCTTTTCTCTGATTTGTTTATTCCATTGTATTTGGACCTTTATTATTTTGGATTATAAACAACGAACTTCTGCCTGCGGCTTCGCCCATGTTCTTGTAGGATAAATAGTAGCCTATGTGTTATTCCCGGCCATAATCTACCCCTATTCTGAATTTCACCCCAATCCCTTCACCCATTTGATGTCATTGACTAACAACCATGTATACACACAAAAACACGAACTTTTGCATCTATAATATAAGTAAAAAGAAGTAAAATAGTAAGATTAATTTTTGGAATCTAATATGGGGTACAAATGTTTCTTGTATTGGTCTAATTAAATTAATGATTTGTCTTTGAATATACCAATGTACCTTAAAAATATTGGAACATTTGAAAAATAAACATCACTGTTTGAATCTGTATAAGATTTAGATACATCAGTGTATGTTCTACCCTTTCCTTATCAATGAGCTAAATCCATTTTCCTTATCAAGTAGTTTGTCCTGGAAAGCAGTCTTATTATAAAAAAACCTGTATGATGACATTGATGAAACAATAACACTATAAATTCACAAGTACCTCAAAAGAAAATCAACAGTCTATCTATACTGTCCAGTACTGGACTATGGCCCAGATGACCCTCCTCTACATACTCTACAGTTTACATAGATTTTCTATAATCTGCATACTTTGTTAGCGGGATACACCAGGAACAAGATATACAAGGAACTATATTAGGTACTATATATAACTCACCTCCTATTACATGGGACTCATAACATAAATAGTGAAAAGTGGGTGTTACATTGTACAGTGCATTAAGTGTCGTAATGTACACCTCTGCCTACCCCTTCGGGGATAAAAGGCGTGATGTTATGTATGTACAAGGAACTAATAACATTAATCATGGAAAATGGTCATTATATTACCTACATCATGATAATTATGTTCTTTGTGCACCCCTAACTATACTTTCAGGGATAACATGTATCATATTATGTGCTAGCTTCTGCCAGCAGCTTTGCCTATGTTCCCGTGGGTTAAAAATTAGCCTAAGTGTTGTTCCAGACCATAACCTATCCACGGAGAACTTAATGGGTTACCGGGGCTCAGGCTCAAAGTGCAGGAGTAGGAACAGGGTGGTTTTTAGTAAAGAGTCTGACACTCCTATACTTCATTATACATACTTCTTCATACTCCTATAGTCATTCCATGATTTTCCACTCTTATAAAAAAAAGACCATAACATATGTCTGTTCCAAATTTCATCTCGACCGTTCAGCCATTATGACATGAAGGAGTAACAAAGAAACATATGAACTGTCACATTTATTATATTAGTAGGAAGTAGGATTAGTAAAATAGGATTTGATATAAACATAAAATTTTGTTTAATCACTTTTATTATTTAAATGAATTTGCAGATTGAAATAGGCGAATGTCAAGTTTTATCATTATCAGTGTTAAATCTCAAATATAAAAGAAAATTCTCATGTAAACATTGTGTTATCTTGTCCATACATCTGTTGTTATCAAGAGAATTCTAACAATAACAGAGATTGTGTTTTTATCTATATGTATATTAGTTTTTTTTTATTATCTTCTAAAGTTGCATGCTGTCTGCTTTTTGCTATACACTAGAAAATACCAAATTCTTCTATGAATGTCGAATAGTTAAAACATTAGAGAAATATTTTATCACAAAGAAAATTTTGGTCCCCAGGAGGCACTGATCACTTAACCGTCAGGTGATCCATTTGCTCATTTACAGCACTATCTATACCACAAAAAACAAAAGCGTTTTGATCATGAAAATAGATATTAGTATACAGTATTCTATACAATATGACTTTCGAAAAGAAAGTGAAAAGCTATAATAAACAATAGTTACTAGGAAAACTTAATGACTCTATTAATATTGTTTTGTTTTATGACATTTTAATAGATTATAAGGTTGATGTGTGTAACACAACGCATTTTTAATTGCGGAAACTGGTTTGGTTAGTATTATAAAAAAGCGCTTTATCTGAAATAAAAAATGTTAATGTTTTAGGACATTAAGCATGACATTTTTAATGATACTTTAGGTTCTTTAGAATTAGCTTATCACACTAATAAATTACTGGTTCTTTATCAGGTTTTTTTTAAATGATGTTTGATGTGTAAAGTTTTTCTAAGTACCAAATGTGTTATGAGTATCAATGTATGGACACCAGCTAGATAACCTAGGTACTCCTTTCTCTCAAATTCTTTGTATTGTTAGATTATCAACTTTATTTTTTTAGTATAAAGTCCAATATCCAATGATAATAGTTGCAGATAGAAGAACTTCTAGAGATTTACCATACTAAAATTTTTACAGACGTAAATGAATTATCTAGATATTTCTTTTTTCAATTTTCTCAGAATCACAACAATAATCAAACCAATAGGGAATGCATAACAAACATTGGTTCGCCTCCTATAAATATAGACAAATAGGTAACCCACCTGTGTTGCCTACAACAACAAAATATAAATACCAACCATAGGAAAACTGAAGGGCTGATTTATATACCGTCACCTCGTGCGTCATTCTGCAATCGAAAATAAACCAGAAAGTCTATTCTGTAAGTTTTTATTTATAGTGACGTGACATAATCGGTTAGTTGATGTTTCTAAGGTCGAAGACGGATTGCTAGGGCAGTCTAATTAACGTGATTTTCAACAGCGAAACGGAATTTGGACAGATTCCCCAATTTTTTTTAAAGAATCCTTTGATGAGTTCGTTCATTAGTTTTGGAAAGAAAATCGTTGACATCAAAGCTTGTAACTGAGTTTTCGTTGGTTGCTATTAATAGTACGTGTCGCGGTAGACCACCACCGTTACTGGTGAAGTGATTTCCTTTTTTACATATTTTTAGGATAGATGAATTGGACTTATAACTCTTACTTAACTCGTCGAGTACCGGTTTTATAGACACAATTGAAGAACAATAGGTCGCGGTCACCGGTGACCGCTTGGTGTTTGACAGTTTAAAAAGTAAACGAAAATGTTTATATTTTTGACGTTCAGGTAAAAGATTCGTTATAAAACTGACTACTAACTAACTGACTGATTGGCTGACTGACGCACTGTCTACGTGCATTAGGTTTTAAAGAGAACAAAGCATGAATGTAAAAATGATTAGATAGTTGAAGAATATTATTGTTATAATCTGCAATTTGTTCCTATATAAAAGTTTCTCAACGTCGAATGTGGGACATCTAAATCCCAGAACATGTGTAAGTTGCAATGTAACAGTAATTGGGGTTATGTTAGTTAGTCCAACTCCCGAGACGATACTAAATTAATTAGGTACACTACGAGTCCTAGTCCGTTTGTTTGGCGAATTGTTTACTACGGATAGGGTTATACTGGGTACGGGAACAAAACCCGAGTACATTCGATGTGGTTGGGATATATGGATAGGAGAAATATGAAGTAAATGCATGGATTTTAATTATTCAAAGTCAAAGTCAAAATCATTTATTTCAATTAGACCAGAAAGGCACTTTTGAATGTCAACAATAAAATTAGAAGTGAAGCTATTTGCTCATTCCAAGGTGTAGATTCCTATGGAGAAGAACGAGCAAGAAACTCCATAGGTTACTCTTTTTCAATCAGGTTCACAATACAATTCTCTAGTTAC